TGTTGATATATCAGGCGCGCAGTTCGACGCTTCGGAGGCCACTAGGAGATACTTTGACGACAGGAGGTACCCGATCATGGTATGTCTGAGCTGGCCGCTCGAAATTTCCCATCCATTTCAGCTCCCAAGTTTGATCTGGCACCTTGTTTCGTTGGATAATTGCTCCTGGTCAATCAATGAGTGGTGTTATATCAACAGAAATTCTTAGGGGCTGGTGGGGGGACGGAAGCTAAGAGTGATCCTAATGTTTGCCCCCCTCTAGTTAATAGTAAGAATGCATTCAAATTGCGTGCAACAACAGCAATAGGAGCGTTACAGAGCCATAGTTTAATGGAAGCCTATGCTGAAGTCTAATACTCCCTCCGTTCCTAAATATTTGTCTTTTTAGAGATTTCAACAAGTGACTACATACGAAGCAAAATGAGTGAATCTACACTCTAAAATATGTCTATATACATCCGTATGTGGTAGTCTATTTGAAATCTCTAGAAAGACTTAGGAATGGAGGGAGTAGATGCGTATTCACCTTGCAGTAAAAAACCCATTAATAACAGGGCTGTATGGTGCAAATATTTGTATGCAGCTAGACATGAATCCATCCTCAATGCTAATCAGTATGTTACTGTAGTTAAATATCTGAGATGACTAGCCTTTGATGCGAAGAATAGAGTTTTACCAGATTTAAGCAGCCCTCCATGATTTTCGAGGTTTATACGCGTGTTGCGCTTCTGCACAATACTTTATATGAAGATAATAATTACTCGTCTTGCCCTACCATGTTTGATGTTTTGTACGGAGTGTTAAACATAAACCCATTACACCTTGGTCTGCAATTCACCAATTAAATGCTAGAAGTTAAATAACATTTTAATGATCCATGAACTACTGCTTGCAATTTTTCTGCAAATGTTAAGAATTTTCCATTCAACAGACGAGCTCGCCATCAGGGAACTCATATTTTCTTCTTTCAAGGCCAGAAGGCTCTGGTTCTCCTCCAAAGAAAGTAGCACCAGACATTGGACCCGAACCACCTGCAGAAGAGAACTCAAGTAGAGCAAGGAAACATAGTGATTCTTTTAAAGTAGCAGTTAACATTCAGGGAGCATCCTATGTTCTGAAGGATCTTAGTTTGACAAATACGACTCCTCAGCAAGCCAAAGAAATGGATCTTCTTTCTCTAGGTTTACCTAGATTAAATGCAGGTAGACAAATGTCCATGCTTCATTTGTGCTGTGCTTTGCTCCCCCCGTCCTCTTTTTACGAAGGGCAAGTATGATTTCCTAATTTGTATTGTTGAACTAATTATGTACTCTGTATTCGACCTTTAAGAATTGTCTGATGATGATCTAAGAGAAACAGCTTATGAGGTCCTTCTTGCTTCTCTATTTGTCAGGTAATTCACACATAAACTCGACTCTATGTGCCTATTCATATTTACACCATTGACTCATTGTTGTGATCTCTTCCTTAATGATATGTAACCAACAGTGGAAAAATGTACTTTGCTGAAGAGAAGAGAGAAAAGAAGCCTAAGTTCTTGAAGGGTTTGAGGTCCAAGACTGAAGGATCTAATTCAGCACCTCAGATGGAAAATTATTATACTCACCATCTTGATTTGATCCGAGTACAAATGGAGGCAAGGTCCTTCACCAATTTCTGCACTATCCCGTCTTTTTGTTAGTTTAACTAAAAATAACATTTGTGATTTGCTTTTGAAATACCTGGCAACGATAGCAAGATTCTTTATGTTCATATAATGCCAAACTTATGTGGTCTCCCTTCATTCCATGTGTTATTTTATTGAGGACTGGAAGTGTGCATACTGCATAATGATCTGAGGAGGATTAGACTATCGAAGGACTCTATTTGTTTTCCCTTTTATCTGCCCTTTAAAATACCATTTTCTTCTTGTTTTCTGGATTCCAAATTTTCCTGTGGTGATCCGAGGACAGAAGGTTCTAGCTAAGAGAAGTTTATTCTTTTTGGTTCTTGGTGATTTTGAACTTCTTTTTTTATTCCGTTTCCCTGATTATGATACAAGGGGATAGTGTGGATAGAACTCACTATAAGAACACATTCTTTCAGATATCAGAA